GTCAGCAGTTCGAATCCACCAGACACTCCACGGGGGAGAAAAACCTGGCAATCTGCTCCTGTAAACGTTATAGCTGAGAAAACCTAATTGGACAGTTCTACTTTGTCATGTGTGTTTGCCATGAGTCGAAATTGACTGACAGCACACAACAGCAATGATGTAGGAGTCTGTGAAGATGTTAGGAGACCAAGTAGTGACACCAGAGTCAAAGGAAAAGCTTCAGAAAGGTGTTCCTGGAGGCTGAGTAAGTCATTGCTTTGATAAAATATTACCACTGATCTTTAAGATAACAGTTTTAGTGGAATAGTGGGGAAAACATTAAATTACAAAGGTTGAGGAGTAAGAGGTATCAAATGTATGGCCTTTCAAAAAGTTTGACAGTGGAGAGATGTGACAGTACCTTACAAGGGTAGTAGAATCCAGAAAAAAAAAGTTTTGATTATTTGAATGGGGAGATTTGGACATATATATAGGGAAAAGAGGCTAAATCAATGGAGAAAAGGAGGCGGAATGCACAAGAGAAATGGAATTATTGAAGGAGCGAGATCTCTGGGAAGATAGGAATCAAAAGGAGAAGATGCAAAAATGAAGGATGATCTTGGAAAGGAGAATATTTTTTCTCTGGGATAGTAGAAGATGTGTAAAGATTCAAAATAATTTGTAAGGGATTGTCATGGATTGAATTGTGTCCCCGAAAAAATATGTGTCAACTTGACTAGGCCATGATTCCCAGTATTGCGTGATTGCCCACCATTTTGTCATCTGATGTGATTTTTGTATGTGTTGTAAATCCTACCTCTATGATGTTAATGAGGCAAGATTAGAGGCACTTATGTTAATGAGGCAGGACTCAATCTACAAGATTAGGTTGTGTCTTTAAATAATCTTTTTTGAGACATAAAAGAGAGAAGCAAGCAGAGAGATATGGGGACCTCATACCACCAGGAAAACAGTGCCGGGAACACAGCATGTCCTTTGGACCTGGGATTCCTGCACAGAGAAGCTCCTAGACCAAGGGAAGATTGATGGCAAGGACCTTCCTCCAGAGCTGACAGAGAGAAAAAGCCTTCCCCTGGAGCTGGCACCCTGAATTAGGACTTCTAGCCTACTAGACTATGAGAGAATAAACTTCTGTTTGTTAAAGTCATCCACTTGTGGTATTTCTGTTATAACAGCACTAGATAACTAAGACAGGGATAGATTGAACAAAAGTATAAAAGGTTAAGGTCAGGTGAATATGATTACAGTAAAGGTGGAAATAAGGTCATCTCCTGACACTTTTCAGCTTAATAAATATTTGAGTGCCTGCTATGTGCCTGATAATAGAGATACACAGACGAATAAGATAGCCTTTACCTCAAGATCACATAACTAGCAAGTCTCTACCTCAAGATCACTTTTAATTGGTGTGTGTAGTCCTCAAAGTTATTTTCAATAATTATCTAAGGTGATCCTCTGACTCTTTGAGGAAGAAAAGGTAAATATTATTCCCTCTCAACCCCAATTGATAGATGATGAATCTGAAGCCAAAGCTCATTAAGTGAGTTGCCCAAGGTCAACAGGTAGTTTCGATGATAAAACTTGTGCTAGAACCCACTGCCACTTCCTCTACTTACCTGCCTGTATAAAATATAATCTTTGTCACTCAGAAAAGGAGGGTGAGAACAGCTGCATAGTTTGAAGAATTTAATCAATCTAAACTGTACATGTAGAAACTGTTGAATTGGTGTATGTTTTGCTGTGTATATTCTCAACAACAAAATAAATAAAATTTAGAAAAAAAATACTATCTTTGTCATATATTATTTAATAAACCTCTATTTATAAACTCTCTTGGTCCTATACTCATTAATACAAAAGTTGAGAAGTAAAGAAGCATAAGAAAGAAAATAATGATACAAGATAGTTAGAAATATATATCCTAATAACAGTTCCCATATCTCTCAGGAGCAAGAATTTTCCAAAACTGATGAAAGAAATCAAGTCACAGATTCTAGAAGCTCTATGAAGTCCAAGTTGGATAACCACATCAAAAGCCATATATCTTCAAGAAACATTAATGAGTATCTACTATATCCCTGTATTAAATACTAGAGGTACAAAGATTAAAAATAAAATTTTTCTCTCTTGGAAGTCACAATAGAAGAAATAAGGAAAAAACAAAAATAACAATACAAAGAATTTGTAATGCCAAAAGAGAAATAGAACTAAAGAGCCATGGAAGTTATAAAGAAGCTATAAAACAATACTTAACTCATTGCTTTAATCCATTCTATAGACTTGCAATAGAATATTAAACAGGTCATTTCATGCCTCTGCCTTGCCAAATATAAGACATTCTTATTAATTCTCTACAGTCTTTCCTACTATCATAGGAATGAATTGTCCCAAGTGTAACTACTTTGAACACTACTAAAATAAATAAATAAATAAATTTTCACCTGTATATAAAATATGCAGAAATGGGATTTTTTTTACATATTACATGGATATGTATCAATTCTGTTGAGTTTTCAATGGAAAAAAAAAGATATAACAACTACCATCCAATATAATTATATTGTCTTTCAGGTTTAACAGCCCAAACAGACCAAATTGTTTCCACATAGTATTTCCTAAAGTTTATGTCAGGTAGAAAATATGTAGCTGGAAGCAATGAGAAGGGGAAAAAGATCAAAAAAGAGAGAGTGTGAGAGACATTTGAGAAAACGTGAAAAGACTTAATTTATGTATAAATAGTCAGTGTTGCATCTTCTGTGCCAGGTGGGCGCACAAGAGAGAGAATTGGTCAGAAACAATATGTGAAAAAATACTGACCAAGAATTTTCCAAAACTGACAAAAGACATCAAGTCAAAGATTCTAGAAGGTCTATGAAGCCCAAGTAGGATAACCACATTAAAAAGTCACATCTAATGAAGGGTAAGACAGTACATAATACTGGGGAAGCCAGCACAACTTGAACAAGGCAAGGTCATGGAAGCTCCACAGACACATCCAAACTCCTTGAGGGACTGAATTGCTGGGCGGAGGGCTGTGGGGACCATGGTCTCGGGGAACATCTAGCTCAATTGGCATAACAGTTTATAAAGCAAATGTTCTACATGCTACTTTGGTGAGTAGCGTCTAGGGTCTTAAAAGCCTGTGAGCAGCCATCTAAGATATTGCACTGGTCTCACTCCTTCAGGAGCAAGGGAGAATGAAGAAAACTAAAGATGCAAGGGAAAGATTAGTCCAAAGAACTAATGGACCTCAACTACCAGGGCCTCCACCAGACTGAGTCCAGTACAACTAGATGGTGCCTGGCTACCATCACTGACTGCTTTGACAGGGATCACAATAGAGCTCCAGACAGAGCTGGAGAAAAATGTAGAACAAAATTCTAACTCACAGAAAAAGACCAGACTTGCTGGCCTGACAGAGACTGGAGAAACCCCGAGAGTATGGCCCCAGGACATCCTTTCAGCTCAGTAATGAAGTCACTCCTGTGGTTCACCATTCAGCCAAAGATTAGACAGGCCCATAAAACAAAACAAGGCTAAAGGGGCACAACAGTCTAGGGACAAGGATTAGAAGGCAGGAGAGGACAGGAAAGTTGGTAACAGGGAACCCAAGGTCGAGCAGGGAGCTTGTTGACACGTCATGGGGTTGTTAACCAATGTCATAAAACAATATGTGTACTAACTGTTTAATGAGAAACTAGTTTGTTCTGTAAATCTTCTTCTAAAGTACAATAAAAAAAAATCACAACTAAGCGTATTATTGTTAATTTTCCAAAGGAAAAAAAAGACACTAACTTCAAAAGGGCAAGGAAAAGACTGACAACTGACTTCTCAACTGAAATGATACATTGAGAAACACCTCCTCAGGGAAGATGGAGCTAGAAGACATCAATTTCACCTTCTCACCTGCAGGACACACAGACTCAGATTTCAGAAAGACCTAAGAGCGACTTGTTTGTATAAAAAGCAAACTGAGACCTTCAGGCTCACTTTTGAAGGAAGGAAAAGAATCATACAGTATTGAAAATATTCATTCTTTAATCAATATACAAAATATCAATATGGGGGAAATAACAATAACCAACGTGTGCTGTTTTCCACCTCAGGTACAGGAAAAGGAAAGCTTATATTTTAGGGATTCATGGTCTCTTGGTTTAAAAAGCACAGAATTTAAAGCCAAGTTTCTATTCTGATAAAATACACACATATGCACACATACACATACCAGAAACATAGAAGTGATCTAGTGGTTCAAAGGACTCCAAACCTTAAAAAGTCTACAGCTAATATTGTTGAATTATCCTGACAGACAAGGAAAGATAATATTGACCAATTTAACTTAGTGTGGAAGTTAGAGTGTTGCCTGATTTGATTCCTTTTTTCTGTTAAATAAAGAAACTCTATTTAGTGTATGTCATGGATTGGATTGTGTCCCCCAAAAATATCTGTTAATTTGGCTAGGCCATGATTCCCAGTATTGTGTGATCATCCACCATTTTGTCATCTGATGTGATTTTCATATGTGTTGTAAATCCTACCTCTATGGTGGTAATGAGGCAGGATTAGAGGCAGTTATGTTAATGAGGCAGGACTCAATCTACAAGACTAGGTTGTATCTTAAATCAATTTCTTTTGAGATATAAAAGAAAGAAGAGAGACAAGCGGGACCTCATACCACCAAGAAACAAGAGCCAGGAGAATAGTGCATCCTTTGGACTCGGGGTCCCTGCTCTGAGAAACTCCTCCTCCACCAGGGAAGATTGATGACAAGGACATTCCCCCAGAACTGATGGAGAGAGAAAGACTTCCTCTAGAGCTGGCACCCTGAATTTGGACTTCTAGCCTCCTAAACTATGACAGAATAAACTTCTGTCTGTTAAAGCCATCCACTGGTGGTATTTCTGTTATAGCAGCCCTAGATAACTAAGGCAATGTAGAATGGCTTGAAAAGAAAGCATGATATTGTAATTTAACATTTATTTCCATCAGTCATACTTGCATCAAAAACTTTGCCCCACTGCCTCATAATCCTTCTCCAGGGCTGCCAAATCTTAACTAGCCTCTGAGAACTCTCCTTCTTCCATGTCTTCTTTAACTTACCAATGCAGAAATGCTAGCTTAGCATACATGAGGTCAAATTTGTGGTCCAGGTGGGCCCAGGCCTCTGCAATCGCTGTAGTATTGCTCAGCATGCAGACAGCCTGCTGGATTTTGGCCAGGTCCCCTCCTGGCACTACTATGGGTGGCTGATTGTTGATGCCCACCTTGAAACCAGTTGGACACCAATCTACAAACTGGACTGAGTTCCTCAACTTTATGGCTGCAATTGCAGCATGTATATCCTTAGGGACCACATCCTCTCTGTACAGTAGGCAGCAGGCCATGTACTTCCCAAGCCAAGGGTCACAGTTGACCAGCTGATTGGAGAACTCAAAGCAAGCAGCAGTGATGTCTAGCATGGAGAACTGCTCGTGATAAGCTTTGTCAGCAGAGATGATGGGAGCATAGGTTGTCATGGGGAAATGTATTCTCGGATAAGGTACTAGATTGGTCCAGAATTCAATTAGGTCCACATTCAAGGACGCTTTAAACAGGAGGGAAGCAGTAATGGAAGATACCACCTGACCTATCAGCCTATTAATATTGGCATAAGAAGGGCGTCTGACACCAAGCTTACGATGGCATATGTCATAGATAGCCTCATTGTCCTCCATGAAGGCACAGTCTGAGTGCTCTGTGGTGGAATGCGTGGTGAGGACAGAGTTGTAAGGCTTCACTACAGCAGTGGAGGTCCTGGGAGCTGGGTAGACAGAGAACTCCAACTTAGTCTTCCTGCTATATTCTATCGAGAGTCGCTCCATTAAGAGAGATGTAAATCCTGATCCAGTGCCTCCTCCAAAGCTTCAGAAAATCAAAAATCCTTGAAGTCCACTGCACTGTTCCATGTGGGGAAGGTAAATGGGATATGAGAACTCAGCCAAATAAATCCAGAAAGAGTGGTAATGGTAGGATGCAACAAGTCCCTCACTGACCCCCGCCTTCTAAAAAAAAAAAAAAAAAAAAAAAGACTGTCAAAGGGACTTGTTTACCATTGTTAACTCCACAGCAAACAGACCTACTTTGAAATATACTTGGATGGTATTTCTGGGGTAGGGAAGCCCCTTAGAGTTTCACTATGAACAAAGCATGTACAATTGCCTTTTACTGCCCTCCATGAATTTATCTGTGTGTACTCTAAATAAAGGCCTTTTATCCATAGCAGGGAAAAGAATACGACTAGCAAAACACTGAAGCAAAATTAGTTTTCCTTCACAGTAGATTAAGCGCCTATCACTTCTACACTCAATCTACTATGCTGGTATAAAAGGCACTGTATTACCTAGTGATCGTGCCAAACACCAAAACACCTAATATGCAAAGGATTCACTAGTCTCCAGGTCTTTGAAGAAGAATTAACTGTCAGTAAATAGCATAACTGGAAGAAAGTCCTGGTGATCTACTTCCAAAATGTCACAGCCATTGAAAACCCTCTGGAGCAGAGTTTTACTCTGACGTACATGAGGTCACCCTGAGTTGCAATCTACTCGATGGCAACTCTTTTTTTTTAATATACTAACTAATCTTCAGGTAAGGAGTGCCTCCTGTAACTTTACAAATAGCAGTTACTATTTTAAAATGACAAGTTTTAGATTGCTGTCAATAAGTTGTACACCTGTAAAAATTGAATTGGCAAAAGTCGTGTGATAGATATATTTACAACAATGACAAAGAAAAGTAACAGATGAGGCTGCTTATGTACAACCAAACACCTCATGGAATTTGGTTCCTTGGTTTGGAGGTTTAGGGTCATGGTTTCATGAGACATCCCAGTTAATTGGTCTAATAACATGTTTAGTGCTTCTGTTCTACTTCCTAGTTCATTGCGTAGTACCTGGGGTTTTAAAAGCTTGCAAGCAGGCCATCCAAGGCACAACAATTGGTCTGTATTCACCTGGAATAACAGAAAGGAGAGTCAAGAATAGCAGAAGGAAATGCAATGTGTGGCTAAATGCCTCTATGAGCAATAACCTCCTTTGCCACGAGACCAGAAAAACTGTATGGTGCCCAGCTACCATTACTGAATATTTTGATCAAAGATTGCATAGAAGAATCCCGATCAAAAGGAGGAAAATGTGAAAAATAATTTCAAATTCTCATGGACTCTATTAGACTTTCTTTGAGCCAGAGAGGGTGGATGAACCCCTGAGATAATCTTTAAACCTTAAGCCAAAAATATCCCCCGAAGTCATCTTAAAACTGAACAATGGTTTAGCTTAACTAGTTAAAAAGGTCTGCCCTGAGCAATTATGTTCTTTTAAGAGCTATCTATATGGGATCAAATTGATGAAAGCAACTCAAAAGATTAGATAGAAACCTTAGGGGACAGTGAGCTTATATTAATGAGGAAGGAACAATTCAGAAAAGGAGAGTGAGAATGGTTGTACAACTCAAAGAATGTAATCAATGCTACTAAATTGTATATGTAGAAATTGTTGAATTGGTGTATGTTTTGCTGTGCATATTCTCAACAACAACAACAAAATAAATAAAATTTAGAAAAAAATGACAGGTTTTAGAGTGCTTTGGACATTGCTGGTAACAAGATAAACCCTGCATTAGCAGAAGGAAGGGTAAATGGGGACTACACAGTTAGTGTAAAGGTTCCTTTCACCCTTCCTACATAACAAAGTATAATCAAAGCTGACTTTAGGGCACTTCCCCATCTCTGCACATCCATTGTGATATTCCAAGGTGACAGGACTCGGTGGCAATAATGTGGTGGGAGGCTGTTGTTGTTACCAGGTACCCTCAAGTTGATTTTGACTCATAGTGACTTATGTGGCAGAGTAGAACTGATGTGACCTCTAGGGTTTCCTATGCTGTAATCTTTGCAGAAGCAAATCATCATGTCTTTCTCCTGCAGAGCTGCTCGGTGGGTTCCAACAGCCAGACTTTGGGTTAGCAGCCAAGCGCTTAACCATTGCACCACCAGGGATCCTTGTAGTGGTAGGTAATGCTGGTGATACTTGGGAGGAGTCTTGCTACAGGATCAGAGGCACCCAGGAATGGCCTCGTCTAAAGGGAGGAGGAGCCACTTGCCAGTTTCCGGATCCTCTCTAGCACAGGATCGACAATCTCTGGCCCCACAGAGCGATGGCCTCAGGCATAGTTGTTTGCAGCATCTTCCTTTCCACTAATGAGCTGTTCTGGGTGGAAGAGTGAGCGGTACTTTCCTGTACGAATCTCATCTGCAGAAAATGAAAGAGGGTCAGTGTATTCTGCTCAATTCAACTGTTTAACTCTGGCCCCCTTGTATCCTGGCCTTCATTCTCTCCCCAAATGTTAAAGTAAAGGAATAGAATTTATACTGCTGAATTAGCTTTTCTTAGTCTAGGGATGACCAGTTAATAATTATTACTCAAATTTATCCACCAACCTCTAGTGCCAAAGATGCAGAAACTGAAGATTTTTACCAACTTCTGCAGTCTAAAATTGATCAAACATACATTCAAGATACATTGATAATTACTGATTGGAATGTGAAAGTTGGAAACAAAGAAGAAAGATCAGTAGTTGGAAAACATGGCTTTGGTGATAGAAGCAACATAGGAGATTGCATGATAGAATTTTGCAAGACCAATAACTTACTCATTGCAAATACCTTTTTAAACATCATAAATGGTGACAATACACGTGGATCTCACCTGATGGAATACACAGGAATCAATCTGACAAAAACTGTGGAAAGAGACAATGGAGAAGCTCAATATCATCAGTCAGAACAAGACCAGGGGCCGACTATGGAACAGACCATCAATTGCTCATATGTAAGTTCAAATTGAAGATGAAAAAAATTAAAGCAAGTCCATAAGAGCCAAAAAATAACCTTGAGTGTATCCTACCTGATTTAGAGACCATCTCAAGAAGAGATTTGATGCATTGAACACTAATGACTGAAGACCAGATGAGTTGTGGGATGATATCAAGGACATTATACATGAAGAAAGCAAAAAGTCATTAAAAAGACAGGAAAGAAAGAAAAGACCAAAATGGATGTCAGAAGAGACACTGAAACTTGCTCTTGAACCTATACAGTAGCTAAAGGGAATGGAAGAAATGACAAAGTAAAAGAGCTGAACAAAAGATCTCAAAGGGCAGCTAGAGAAGACAATGTAAAGTTTATAATGAAATGTGCAAACACTTGTAGTTAGAAAACCAAAAGGGAAGACCATGCTAGGCAGTTATCAAGCTGAATGAACAGAAGAAAAAATTCAAGCCTCAGGTTGCAATCTTGAAGAATTCTATGGGGAAAATATTGAACAATGCAGGAAGTATCAAAAGAAGGTGGAAGGAATACACAGAGTCACTGTACCAAAAAGAATTGGTTGATGCTCAACCATTTCAGGAGGTAGCATATGATCAAGAACCAATGGTACTGAAGGAAGAAGTCCAAGCTGCACTAAAGGCATTGGTGAAAAACAAGGCTCCAGGAATTGATGAAATATCAATTGAGATGTTTCAATAAATAGATGCAGTGCTGGAGGTGCTCTCTTGTCGATGCCAAGAAATTTGGAAGAGAGCTACCTGGTCAACTGACTGGAAGAGATTCTTATTTGTGCCCACTCCAAAGAAAGGTGATAGAACAGAATGTGGAAATTATCGAACAATATCATTAATATCACATGCAAGTAAAATTTTGCTGAAGATCATTCAAAAGCAATCACAGCAGCACATCAACAGGAAACTGCCAGAAATCAAGCCAGATTCAGAAGAGGATGTGGAATGAGGGATATCATTGCTGATGTCAGATGGATCTTGGCTGAAAGCAGAGAATACTAGAAAGATGTATACCTGTGTTTTATTGGCTATGCAAAGGCATTCAACTATGTGGATCATAATAAATTATGGATAACATTGCAACAAATGGGAATTCCAGAACACTTAATCGTACTCGTGAGGAACCTGTACATACACCAAGAGGCAATCTTTCGAATAAAACAAGGAGATACTACGTGGTTTAAGGTTAGGAAAGGTGTGCATCAGGGTTGTAGCCTTTCACCACACTTACTCAATCTGTATGCTGAGCAAATAATCCGAGAAGCTGAACTATACAAAGAACATGGCATCAAGATTGGAGGAAGACTCGTTAACAACCTGCAATATGCAGATGACACAACCTTGCTTGCTGAAAGTGAAAAGAACTTGAAGCACTTCTGATGAAGATCCAAGACTACAGTCTTCAGTATGGATTGCGCCTCACCATAAAGAAAACAAAAATCCTCACAACTGGACCAATAAGCAACATCATGATAAACGGAGTCAAGGATCTCATTTTACTTGGAACCACAGTCAATGCCTATGGAAGCAGCAGTCAAGAAATCGAACGATGTATTCCACTGGGCAAACCTGCTGCAAAAGACTTCTTTAAAATGTTAAAAAAGTAAAGATGTTGGTCTCAGACAGAGTGGGAGAGAAAAGTTAAAAAAAAAAAAATTAAATTCATTTAAAAAAAAGATCTGACTTGCTGATCTGGCAGAGACTGGAGAAACCCTGAGAGTATGGCCCCCCTGGACACCCTTTTAACCCAACACTGAAGTCACTCCCAAGGTTCACCCTTCAGCCATAGAGACATGTCTATAGGGCAAACAATAACATACGTGAGGAATGTGCTTCGTAGTTCAATTGTGTATACGAGACTAAATGGGCACAGCAACCCAAAAGCAAAGATGAGAAGGCAGGAAGGGACAGGAAAACTGGACGAATGGAAACAGCGAACCCTAGGTGGACAAAGGGAGAGTGTTGACACATCGCAGGATTGGCAACCAATGTCACAAAACAATTTGTGTATTAACTGTTTAATGTGAAACTAATTTGCTCTGTAAACTTTCACCGAAAGCACAATAAAATAAATAAATAAATAATTTATGAGTGGATACATAGGTAGATATGTATACTGAATAGGTGTGGGGGGTATATGAGACTATATCCACTTCCATATACAAGTTTGGCTGTGAATATTTCTACATACATATTTGTATGTTCTACATGTATATTCACATATACAATAGAGCACACAGGAGACACAGCCATGGAAACAACCTAGACATAATTAAACATCTTGCAGGACTGAGTTTCTGGGCTTGAAGACTAAGGACCATTGTCCCGGGGGATATCTAGGTCAATTGGCATAACACAGTTCATAAAGAATATGTTCTACATCCTACTTTGATGAGTAGCGTCTAAGGTCTTAAAAGCTTGTGAGTGGCCGTCTAAGATTCAACTATTGGTATCCTTCTGTCCAGAGCAAAGGAGAGTGAAGAAAACAAAGACCAGGAAATAATTAGTCCAAAGGCCTAATAGACCACAGGAATCACAGCCTCCACTAGCATGAGACCATAAGAACTAGATGGTGTCCAGCTATCACTACCAACCACTCTGACCAGGATCACAATAGAAGTCCTAGTTACAGTGGGGGAAAAGTAGAACAAAATCCAGATTCACAAAAAAGACCAGATTTACTGGTCTCAGAGAGACTGGAGGAACCCCTGAGACTATGGCCCTTCGACACCCTTCTAACTTGGAACTGAAGCCATTTCCACCTTTCAGGCAAATAATAGATAGGCCTATAAATAAACAATAACACAGGTGAGGAAAGGGCTCCTTAGAACAATCATCTATACGAGACCAAAATGACAACATATGCCCTAAAGCAAAGATTAGAAGGCAGGAAGGGGCAGGAAAACTGGAGAAACAGAAAAGGGGAACTCAGGGTGGTAACGGGGAGAATACTGACACATTATGAGTGCAACCTATGTCATGGAACAATTTGTGTATAAACTGTTTAATGGGAAACTAATTTGCTCTGTAAACCTTCACCTAAAGCAGAATTTAAAAAAAAAAAAAGTATGGTCTAAAAAAAAAAAAAAGGCTGTCACTTTGAAGACTAAGGTGCGCCTGACACAAGCAATGGTATTTTCAATCATCTCATATGCATATGAAAGCTGAACAAAGCATAAGGAAGACCAAAGAAAAACTGATACCTTTGAATTATTGTGCTGGCGAAAAATATTGAATATACCATGGACTGCCAGAAGAAGAAACAAGTCTGTCTTGGAAGAAGTACAACCAGAATGTTCCTTAGAAGCAAGGATGGCGAGACTTCATCTCACGCACTTTGGACATGTTATTAGGAGGGACCAGTCCCTGGAGAAGGACATCATGCTTGGTAAAGTACAGGGTCAGCAAAAAAGAGGAAGACCCTCAACGAGATGAATTGACACAGTGGCTGCGACAAGCTGCTCCAGCATAACGAGGATTGTGAGGATGGCACAGGTATAGGCAGTATTTCATTCTGTTGTACATAGGGTTCCTATGAGTCAGAACTGACTTGACAGCACCTAACAACAGTCCAGGAAAAATGAGACCTGGTGGCACAAAGGGTTAAGCACTTAGCTGCTAACTGAAAGGTAGGTGATTTGAACCCACCCAGCAGCTCTGTGGGAGAAAGACTTGGCAATCTGCTTACATAAAGATCGCAGTCTAGAAAACCCTATGAGGCAGTTCTGCTCTGTCACATGGGGTTGCCATGAGTCAGAATGAACTCAACGGCACCAAACAAGTTTAAGAAAAGGTATAATTTTCTGCATATATATTGGAAGTATGCTTTTTCTACCAAACACCCTATGGCACTTTGATATTTTAAGGCAGATATTTCTATCTACAAATTAGCCTACTGGGTGCCATCTGGAAAACTATATACATCTAAATTATTATTGGTATGTTTTGAACGAGGCTTTAACAAAGGCACAACAAGCTCAAATGCCCACGTGACCCAAATGCAGTTAACAGTGCACCCATACCATCCTTTCTAACTTCCTGGGTACTTATCTACCTTTCTCAGAGAATTCAGTACCTGGCCTAGTGTCCTTAGCCAATATTCTGAGGGACTTCGATGGTTTTTAAACACAATTATCTGGCAGTTCCACAACTTCTTTAGCTCCAATGTCATTCAGCTCCACTCCACTTGAATCACCATCATTCAGAAGTATTCCACCTCCAAAATCTTAAACTTGCAAAATCCGTTCTCTGATTACAACTTTCTTCCTTCCCCTTGACTATGCTTTTGAGCCTGCCCCTGACAGTATTTCCAGTTTCATCTCCCATTGCTCTTCTACTCACACCCTAAGTTCCAGTTCCACTGAACTTGTTAAAGGTGCTACATGTCTTCATGCCTCTGTGAATTTGAAAA